ACAATGTACATGTCACATTTTTATTCACACATGAAACATTTGTTTGCATCAGTTCGGAAGCAAAGTGCCGAAGTTCCAATTCTTGAAAGGTTCGTCATTCAACATTTTTACATTCTAAACCAATTATTCATCGACATTGCAACTTTGTTTAACTGGTGTATTTTACATTATGATTTTTTTTGGACAAGGTCAATATCAGAGGGAATAAGTATGAAGTTTATTTTTCAATGCCGAAGTAATAATGTAGTCTTTAGGTTCATTATGTCTTTCCTTCTCTATGTAAGTGCCATGAACATCATTATGCTGTTTTTCCTAAATACAGAACAGCATGATAACATTTAACTGTTACATTGTACCCATTTATTTTGATTTGTTAAATGAAAAATGTAAGTTGCATTTTACTTTGATATTATTCCCGTTACTTTTAAAACGCATGGCAGTCAATTGAAAATGTATGTAGATATGATCCATAAACATTGCCCATATGTGATATATTTAATTATAATGAAAGAAAATTAAACCAGAACGTTAATTGAAACCTCTCAGCTTGATAACTAACACTCATATAAAATAAAGAATGATTGAAAACGACAAAGTAAACTTTCTAAAGATTGTAAATACTGGAGTGTGATTGAATATTGGTCTGTTCAATATATAATAAAATTAGAAGGTTGTTACTAAATCTGTTAGCGGATATTAATAAAAACATAATAATCCGCTCATTAATGCCATGTCATGAATAGAAACTAATTAAGACGTTTAATAAACCAGCGACTGGCTTGACCAAACTTTTTGATTACCTTCATATAAAGTAAACCCTACATAGTTTCATTTACAACTTGTTTGATTATATGTTGTTACACCAATTGTGAAACGTTTTTTTTTTTTAAATCTCGGCGACCAGTTCGTCTAACAGGCTTGATGGTTATTGGTTCTTGTTGCTGGGTCATATGGGGGTTGCGTTCATTGAACGCCGCCATTCCTTGTTGATCTTGTTTATCATATTTGATAACTTACCAGTAATAACATGTGCCAATTTTTCCTATCATATTCCCTTTGCTGCCAGTGTTTCTATTTCATCTCAACCAGAACGTGTTTGGTCCTATAATGGTTTATTCAGAATTGAAATGTTTTGCCGTTAATTTGTTACAAAAGTATTTTTTATACACACTTTGTTGTCAATGCTCTGTGAAAATTACTACCATTTTCCAGATTTATGTCGAATGAAGTAAATGTGTTATAAGTTCAAGATTGTTTATCATATCATATCCGTTATCAATAAAACATATGACACATATGAGTAATTTATAATTTCATTATACCGTCAACAACAATAAACATTTCATCAACGCTCAATTTATACTAGCTTAAAAAATAAATAAATTCAAGTAAATGAAAATAATATGCTTCAAGTTTGTAAATGCCAAACAGTTAAATTAAGATAAAATCAATATCTAGTGAAACTAAAATTAATTTCAGACATTATTTGCAGACAACGATAAACGTTGATGATAATTTCAAAATGCCATTCCTTACGTCATAAGCATAAAGCATGCAATGGAAAGAGATACATTTGTGAAAAGTAAAAATGTTGTCAATTTCAACTACTTGTTTTCAATGTTTTGTTTGTATTGCCCTTTGACAAAAACAACCTTGTTCTTAAAAATTCATATACTTTAATTGCTATCTTTACAACACAATTGTAATTTATGAGTGTAAAATTTCTGTTGACAAGCATATGAATTATCAAATGGCAATTTTGTCATATTTTCTCACCTTGTGTACGATAAATCTTTCAGCATGACAAATATATACCATGCAACATACTGTGTATGTCCTAGAGTCGGTATAACTGTTGAAATAATATCAGCTAATCTTTTCCTTAGAAATGCGTTTAATTTATCAAATTAAATAGTATGCAATACGTCATATTTCAAACATATATATATATTAAATGTTTTTTTCCTTGCAGGGTTTCTAGACATTTGCACTACAATATTCGATCGTATTAACATGTTTCGAGTAAAATTAATACATGTACATACAATACAACTTTTGAACAGAATGCATCGGTTAAAATATAAAGCGTATAGACAACGGGTGAAACTTTGTCTATAAGAATGTTGTTTTTTCACAGGCAGTAATTTTGATACATGGCATATGTATAAATTAAAAAAGAATAAAAATTGAAACAGAGACTGGATTAAGGTAGGAAGCCGTCTTTAAGTTAATAACCTCGTGTTTATCGAATATTTGATTGAAGCACAATATCATGCACATACTTATGCGATTTGTATGGCTATTAGTTATTCAAAGTTGTAAAAACACCCGCATTTAATTTGTTATTTCCGGTGAAAGTTAATCAATAAATAAAAGCTCTTTAAGTCAATATACTTCTTTATAAGCAGTTTTGTATCAGTTAATGATACCGTCGCCACATTTTTTTTCACTTCTGTGTGTTGGTTTTTAACACTCTTACCATTAGTTAATATCAGGCCATGACATTGAGTGTTCACATTGTAGGATTAAAGTTATGTGTTTAGATTATGATCAGAATTTAAATGTAAGATATATGTAACAATAAACAAGAATAGCTTGATGAGATTATGAAGATACAAAGATTTATATATTATTAATTCTGATAGTCGTCTAAGGAGTTGGCCATTCATGTCAAATACACCATTAACGTCATTTTTGCATTTGCATCAAAATAGAAATGCAATTTAACAAAACCAGCGACCACGTTAGACTATTTTTTAACATTTATATTTTTCATGCAGTAGCGATGAAATAACTGTAACTATACAAAAGTACATGTACACTAAAATTGAAACTATACATTAACTTGTTCTCTATATAAAATTATACTTTTATTTGTGGTCTACAGCCTTAAATGTATCTCAATTTATCTCGGAATCCGCCCATTCTTTACCTTTACTAATAAAATAAAAATTTTAAGGGTTTCAAAAACTAAAGCCCCTTAAGATGTTACGTCTACCTTTGACATTTAATAGATCTTTATTGTCTTTTGTCTGTTCAATACAGAGCGATAAAAATGCAATGAGTACTTTACAAATGAAGTGACATTTTGAATAATATATTGCAATGCCAAAAAAAACACCAGACATATTACACTTGTTGAAAAACGACGTAATGCTAAGTAGCTTTAAAACGACTTCAAATAAGACACAAAGGATGATCGTGCTTATTTATAAAGCAACAAGAAATAACAAGAAAACAGGAGAGGATAGTCTTGTCATGAAGATGGAGAGGAAAATATAGTTCCCATAGGAACTTAAAACACACTCTCTTTTATAAAGTCATACATTGTTAAACAGATTTGCTCTGGTAAATTCAGTCTAAATGTAAAGATTTTCCTCATTTGGAGACATCTTAATGGGGTAGAAATGTGATTACAAAAATCATTTTTCCAGAGAGGCTACCTTGATGGATAGTTTATTGCTATGTTTTTACGCTCCTTAGTCGAATTAGTCTGTGTTAAATAAAGGACGAATATTAAAATATACTAATTGGTACACAGTCCAGATATTTTTCGCCTACATCAAACTGGATTTCTTCTCTCCTTTCATCTGTTCGCCTTGAATTGTGAAGAATTATCATGTCATTTGAATATTACATTGCCATTGATATATTCTTTCAAAATGCTTCTGAACGTCTACATACGTAAGATAACATGCTTTTCACATTTATTGCAGTAAACAGCTCTTATTTTACATACGTTATGAATAGAATATTATATTTATAGTGCTTCTATAAAAATCTATTAAACTCGTTGTAACAAAATAACATGCTGTACCACCCTTGAATTCTTTTATATTGCTTTTTTTCTACCCGGAGGATCTTTGAAAAGGGCCCGAGTACCAAATAAATCATTTCGAACCAAACCGTTTGAACATGCAATTTTAGTTTAATGCTTTATGTTGTTAAAACATTTGTGCTTATGTTTATTAGTTTTTAACTCACCAAAGGCAATTTTACAACACATTTTACACTTTACGTAACGAATACTTCGATCTCTTGTGAACAAATAAGAAGCAGTTTAAAAACACCATGCATCATATAAATTTAGCTGTAACACTTGTAATACAGAATAGATATGTATAATAATGATCTCCATTTGTTCCAGACTGCTTTGAGTAATTTCATGTTTGTCGGTTTATTTGTTATAATCATTTGCACCTGAGTATATAAACTAGAATATTTGTGCACTTTGAGAGAATTCATGCTTTATGCGTCCTGTTGATATTACAATGATTAGCCAATATATCACAAGATGTTTATGATTATTATTTTATAACTGCTCGTCTGTGTCCGATAGTTTAAGGTTTTTGACTTCAAACCACTTGCTCATTTGTCTTCCGCCACCAGTCAAGCTGGTATGACCAATACTGTGTTGGTGTGACAAGAAACCCAATCCCAAATATATTTTATATCAGGTGACGGCAAGCTTTCTACTGTCTATTGAATCATCGATAATATGTGAATGTCCTAAAAACATCGCTGACATAAAGGAAGTTTTTGAATTGCCAAATCTAATCGTAAAATAAATACAAGTAAAACATTAAAATATTAAACACTATAATAGTTTGTTGAAAAATAAGAAATACGGACTTCAATGCATTTGGTACAAGAACGTTCAAAGGACGCATTGTTGCTAAGGTTCTGCTTGTTTCCATAGACAATGATACTTCATTAGTGGCATGAAGATAAGTTGTTCCAAATTTATAACGGGCAATTAAATTACACTCATTAAGGTCATTCATGCAAATTTAAAATGACAAATACTATTCACACCCGAAAAAGGCGATATAAGTAGACAAACAATAGGCGCAAAACAAGAAGGCCGTATTTGTCAACTGCGTTACATGTAACATTTTTGTCACGTAAAGGTAATTGCTTTTTTTATTTTACCTTTTTGTACATGACTGCACACGCAAGAATGAAATTTCATAATTTTAAAGCAAAACATGAAGATAGTATATGTATATAAATGTTTACTTCTCAAAGAAAATATTAAACAACTCCAAGAAACAATCTGTTGTAAAGACAATATAATAGTTAATAAAGCAAATAACCGGACAATTCAAGAAGAAATACACATTTCAAATTACTAGATACTTCTGTAGAAGAATGACAATTAAAAACGAAATAAGATACGAAAAATATTAATTGTTTATTTTTCCATCTTTCTAAATGTAAATTGCACAAAGGTTTGTGATAAATATTAAAAAATGACACCATTTCTTACAAATTATTAACATTAATTTTGCCAAGTTTCAGGTATGCAAATCTTGCTCTCTTTTAATAACATTACTAAAACTTCGAAATTTTAAGTATAAAGAAACGTATGGGACTTCGTCTGATAAAAGTCATCAATTAAGTCAAACCGCAACAAATACTATTTTATGCTTTATAAATGCAACGACTGTGTTTGAAACTATACCTAAAACAGACATAAAACACTTCATGCTTTTAATAACCATTTGTCGTTAAATATGTTTGTTTTCAAAACCGCTTCATAGTAAATGAATTTATATTATTTACGACTACAGAATTATTGTTCATAGTTGACAGCTTATATCATTTGGTCATTTCATGAATCAAACATATGAAATAAAATAATTAATAAATGTCACAACAAATGCATGAATATTCAAACAATTTAGGACGCATTAACATTAGAACATTAAATTGTGTTTTATAGATAAAATTTGTAACTTTACATGATAATTTTAATATATGATAAATGTATTAAACTTAACAAATATTTCAAATACAATTTCTACATGCGCGTTACAAATATTCACAGTTATATTTTGCTGAATGCTAAACAATAAAAAAAAATGTTTTTACCTTTAAAAGATTTCGTTATGTTTGTAAAGACATACATATACAAGAAATGTTTCCTATTTTACAAGTAAAATAACATTAATAAGTTTTGTAAATTAAATGTTTCTCAAATATGTAAACAATATATTATAATGACTATCAATTAGACTTGAAATGCGTAAACTATCTTATTCACACAATATCTAGAACTCCAGTAATTGATTTACAAAATGTATGTTATAAAACAACACACACCACGATTTGAAAACTTATATTTTGTTATACAATGATCCACATAAAAACAATCTCCTGTTAAAATTAATTTCTTTTATCTACATCTTCAATTCTGTAAATATTTACATAAAATCATCAAATAAACATTTGATAAAATAATAAGCTTATATACATATTACATACATACTTACAGCTTCTTAAATAATATAAAGCTTAGAACAAGAAGAACTATCACCATATTTAGAAAGGTATAAAAGTTGTGCACCAAAACCCGACACACACACGAAAATATGCAAGCGATATTTTAAGGTTTCTGTTCTATATTTTAACAGCTTTACTTTTAAGAAAAAAATGCAATTAAAACTCTGCAATTGTCAGTTAAACATTTAACATAAACTTTGAACAAACTACGTGTCAGGTGAAATCAACCATACTGGAAGCATACCCTTGCTCTAGTAATGTCCAATCATGTGTAACGTAAAGTTACTCGAAAGAAAAGGCAGCTTTCAGTTGTAATAAGTATGCTATATTAGAAACTGTTTGGGCAGTTATAAAGTTCTTATTAAAGAATGTATCACTATAAACATCAACGAATATTAAATTTGTTGGGAAGATCTTGAAATATATTAAAGATATTTTGAACTTTTTTGAAAAATCAAAAAAAAATCTTTTCGTATTGGGTTAATACAGATTTAGAACTAATAAAAATTGTTACTCCTGTCTAATACGTTTGGATTTAATGTTTAACAATACATTTTAAAGAAAGAAAATACATTGTTGTTTTAGCTGTCACTCCTGAATTTAACGTTATCAGCAGTTTTAAAAAAGTAATACAATGGAATATGGTATTTATATAAAGTGATCTAGAAAGGTAAGTGTAGAGTAAAGCTAAAAGGGTATATGTTTTTAGTGTTAAGATAAAATAAAATCTGTGCACAAATGATCTTTTATACCTATAAAGTATGAACGTTTAATGTATGACTATGCCGTACAGTATATTTATAGAGTATAGAAATATAGAAAATAGTATATAGCGCAAGTTCGGGTAACTGTTTAGATATAGAAGCGTTGGAGAAAGAAGAAATCGATTCATATGATTTTACGAACGAATAACAGTTAGTAACACAATCTGCTCGTCCTAAATACTGTAATCTGTCAGCTTCAGAGAATACAATACACCACACACTAACATCATGTCCGAAATATTTGTCCGAGAACGACAGCATCCTATTTGTCAACACACCTTAACTATTTATCATCACAAAAACCAATGCTAAGTAAGGGCGACAAATATTAATGTGAATAGAATAAAAGACATTGTTGTTTTACTAAAACATTTTACACAGGCAGCAGAACTTTCCATGTTACTGTATAATGGTGGTAGGACTGTGGTTTGGTATCTCGGATGATACAGTTTATGTGACGAACTAGTAAACATTGGAAAGTGGGTAGTACCGGATCTATCAGGTTTATGTGTGTTGTGATGATGTCTCCTAGTTGTGCCATATTCGACAGACGTCGTAGACGGCAGAAGCTTTTCTATGTATGGGCAATTCTGGCGGTTCTTTGGTATGACCAATGTTCTTTTAGGCATTACAGTACCTTCTTGAACAGCCTTTATAGCAACTTTGTTACAATTTGTCGCATCTAGAACATAAACTATACCAACTCTGTCGTCGTTTTCTTCTTCGTGTACAAACACCCAGCATAAGTATTCTTGATGAGCATGAATGGTTCGTGTTACGACAGCATGGATGTTTTCCCCTTGTGGAAACACCCCTAGGCAATGATAATCCTTCCGGTCAAGAGTATTGCCGGATGTACAGTTAAAAGGCTGAGCAATAAAATTTCTTTGGCTTCGCTTGTCTTTAGCGTCATACACAAAGCAATATTCACAAACATTTGCCTCCTGCATGTACAGTCTGTTATCAGTTAGCCCTGGCCAATTTTGTAAATTGCAGCTGAACGGGTAATGGTGTTTAGTGTCTACTAGAATTGTCGTTGGTTTTTCATCAATTCTTCTCCCAAAGTTTTCTCTATCTCTTGAACTCGGTTCAAACTGCTGATCAGCGCACACGTCTTCTTTAAGTGACTCCGGGTTCTTCACAGGCCAGCTGACACGGTTGCCAAGGCGATACTCTAGAATTGACGAAGAAACTTTCTTTCCTTCGAAGCAAGCATATCTTGGATAGCAGCCATTTGAAAAAGTCTGAAGAAGCATCGTTCTGTTTTCAAAATCGTGTCCGTCGGGTTCGTGACATCGAAACTGTCCCGTTCCACTTATATAAATGTCATAATAAGACATTGTTACTTCTTTCTGAAATGTACAAAATTGTTGTCATTAGTTCGATTTATATAAGCACGATACACAAATAAATTTTCACAATCAAAATAACTTATAATTTCATATACATTGTTACAAACCGAATATTTTAGATACAAACCAATTTTTTGTCTGTCATGCCTTTCCAAACAATTCAGATTAATCACTTTATAAAAGAGCATCGCTTTATTTTATTATTAGACCTAGGAGGTTTACTTATTCGTCAAATAATTGTGACGTAAAATAATTATGTTTTATATTTCTTTATCACTCTGTGCATTGTTAAACATGATTAAACATTAAACATTTTTATAATTAAGTTTCTTCTCTGTTATACAACATAATTGTATCAAAGGGAGGCAAATATTAAACAACTCATTGAGCAAATGCACCATTGACAAAGAAAAGAGGCAAAGTATTAGTGTATAATTAAATGTTTTAAATGAGTTAAAATGTACAACTAAAGGCAAATACAAGAAATACTAGCTATTATTTCATGCTTTCCAGTGTTTTATTGTAATATATCAGATGATTATATTCTGATAAACCACTAGTGAAATTTATAAAATATAATTTTCACTGTAGCCGGACTATATCTGAATGCGGATGAAAAGAAAATCATAACTAAATGGAATGACAGGCGGAAATAAATGCCATCATGTGTAAATTTGGCTCTTTTATAAAAAGAAAGTCGATGTCACTATACATCATATTTAAAATGTAACAAAATTAGAGAAATTTAACAGAACTATATTTCAAAATTGTTGATGTGACGTCATGATGTGATGACGTCACAAAGGAGAATGCGCAACGTTACGCGGCAAAATCACTTAAAATTACTTAAAATCACTTAAAACGCATGAAATAAAAAGAAAATTTATTTGTTTTATATATAAGATTGAAATATATTTCATTCGTGAACACCAGCTATTATATTTTCACTCGTGGCTACGCCACTCGTGAAAATATTGCATCTGGTGTTCACTCAGTGAAATTATATTTCAATCTTACATGCAAAACAAACAAATATCCTCTATTTTTTCTCAAAAATATCGGAAACACAATACTGTATGAAAATGTAGTCATACAACGAAATTAAACATACAGTTATGAGTATTAAATATTATATCAAATATTAAATATCAAGATGCAAATATCTGTTTGGAAAGGTCATATATATAGAGGATATTTGTTTAGTGCAGTGTAAGATCGGAATATATTTCACCGAGTGAGCACCAAAAGGTATATTTCACGAGTGGCGCAGCCACGAGTGAAATATGAACTTTTGGTGTTCACGAGGTGAAATATATTTTGATCTTACATTAAACTAAACACATTTTCTTTTAATTATATGCGCCAAATAATAATACAACGTGACGTCATTTACGACGTCACGTCATTATGTTGGTTTCCAGGACTGTGAACGCTTGTATTTCACTGAAACAACGTACCGGGCTCAAATATTCAAAACAGTGAAATTATGTAATCGATAATTTCACTGTTTAATACAGTGAAATTATCAGTTTTTATTTCACGGATATATTTCTATAAACCACCGAAAAGCATGTAATAAAAGCTGTTTAGTTTATACTTGTATGACACAGTATTCACGCTCGAAACGTTGATATAACCCGAATGTCAAAACGCTAGGTTATATAAGAAGCAAACACCCAATAATACTAATAAACAATTATTTGTATAATGATGAGATAAATAAACAAGTCTACGGACCTGGTGAATATCACATAAGCCAGGTCAATAGACTTGGATATTCACCGGACCCTTCATACAACAACTGTTTTATTATTTGACCAAGATAAAATTCATAATCTTGTAAATTTTCAAAATTGACCAATTTTATTTTTTCGCGCGAAAAGGCCATAAAATGGGACGGAAACACAAGTAATTTCCTGTTTTCTGCATTCTATCTCTTTCTAAAGCATGTAAGCAGCAACACACCTTTTTATATTGCCCTTGGAAAAACGCTATCTGTAAATGTGATTTACAAATGATATCTTTTAAACGTAGCATTTTTTCTGTCTGGTTGACAGGTATATCATTATATGCCGCACAGCTATTAAAGACATGTTTTCTTTTTAAATAGACAATATAATTTAGCGTAACTTTTTTATCACTTAGAGTAAAGTAGGGAAAGCCTATGGTCGTTGACGTCAGATAAAAATTAAGTTAAATCAAGGGCTGAATATACAGCGTTATTCCGTCAATTTTTTGTCTTATATGTGTAATTTACTACTTCTGTGCACCGTTTACAAATGGTACACCTTGATGATTATTCCTTGGAAAAATCACAATTACATAAACGACAAATTACACTGACAATTCCATTGATAGGTCTATACATTTTATTCATATTTATTCATTATTTTATTATTTGAATTATAGTCCTTTAACACGTGAAGGCTATAGTCGGGCAAGCCAAAGCCGGAGTCCGCGAATTGATAATACTACACTATTGTCAATTAAATTATATAGTTCATATTCATAAAATTGCCCGTGCCCATTATTATGATTAATATAAACGTCACGATTGCTCAATTTAACGCGGGAAATAGTACCACAGAAGGGTCATATATCGTTTTATTCTGAATAAATTAACATAACTACATGCTAAATCAAACTATGGAAGAAAAGCCTTACATATTTGTTATAGATATAATGCAGTCTTAAATACTATATCTTAATCGTTATCTATATTTACTTCATTTGATTTAGCTATGGTATATTTGACTGAAGTATTTTTATTACATGCAACCTGATATGTAATCACGACGCAACTAAATTCAATCATTAATTATTGTCACTGAATGCGTCATATGTTGTCACCTTTACATTATATCATTATTACAAAACATGACGTTTATATTTAGATAGATAATGCTTCTCTCACCTGTTCTCCGTTATTATTTCCAACCCAACCACCTTGGAAATTTCCAGGAAAAGTGCATTGACTCTCTTCAGCCGAACAATAGTTACAAAACCGTCTGCAATTTATGGAATATGTTTTGTCGTTATACTGGCAAAGTCGGCTATCGTCGCATATCCTCGCATAGGAGTCAGCGCAAGTTGAGCTTATAATGCGCTGTGTGAATTCTAGATACAGATACCTGGATGTTTCCCTTATGTTGCCATTTCCATCACCGGGGTCACATATAAGGTCAACAAATAAATGTCCATGCTCGATAGGTTTGGTGAAGTCAGTGCCAGTGATTCGCATGCACCATGCCTTGAAATCGTCATTCTGGGGTCTCAATATAACGAAAGTGTAATTTCCATGAGCCCAAGTGGCTGCGCAGTAAAATGACTGCTCTACGTTCATGCCTAGATCTTTTTCAAGACACTCTCGATTATGGAAGTTAATTGTCATTCCATCTCCTTGTTCACATTCACTTTCCAATCTAGCCGGAATAATTTCATGACCACACTTAGGCTGTTTGTCAGACGTGTGTAGCCTTATATTATATCCACCAGAAAATGGACATGGGATCTTTTGCTCTATAAAGTTTTCGTTTGTTACCATAGGCCAATTGTCTAATATTAAATGGTTGTCGTCACAGGAATTTGCACTACGGAAGTAAAGTTCTTGTGACTCTTTAATTTGAATGATACTGGTTCCTCTACGAAGAATTTGTATACATAAAAATATAGGAGGCGTACTACCTACAGTTGAACTATGTTGCACCTCAAACTTATTGTTGTTTTGCCTGGAAAGACATTTTCTCGTGTATTGAAAACATACACTTTCCCTATCACAGCGCGTGAACACCATCACATTTCCTTTGAAGTAACCTTGAAAAGTTCTTTTGTCAGTGTGTGTCGCTGTCCAAATGGATTCAGTATTCAAATAGCTGGGAAATTTGCAGGCTTTACCCACACCAGATATGACGTAAATGAGAAAAATATAAATGACATAATTAATGAAAATTCTTGAGCAATTATTCATGAAAGGTGTCGGTTTGAATTGTGTCACTTTTGAATTCGTCATTGTTTCACCTCGTTGTTTGTTCTTCTATAGTGTTAGAAATCCTGAAAATAGAAATTGAAGAATAAAATAATAAGAAACATTTCAAAATGATAGAAACAAATGTTTAATATATTAACAATCTAACGTGTTAAAGAAATGATTTTGATCTCTTAAATGTAAGAGTTCTTTATTTCAAATATATCATTTGACACTAAATGACTATTTCTTAGTCCAACAGACCGGCTTTTGTGTTAATTTTGATTATGTCTTCATATGTGTGGGTATATATCTCAGTCTAATCGAATAATTTCTGCAAACAATATTGTTTTGTGGATTGAATGAACTCTTATAATTGTCTACGTATATAAGCTTACAATTTCGTTGATATTTGTTATGTGTATACATAGCATATGTTATTTATGGTCGGCGAGTATTGACCTACACTTATAAGCAAAGCACTCTGTTAATGTTTATATTGCAAATGGTCTGTGAAGTATATTCGGCGAGTATGTGCCTGCACGTATTTGTCAAAGTAAAACATTTTATAACGATTATTTTACTTCGCTGCTTGTAACAACACGTACATATGTGATTTTTTTTCAAATCCGATTTTACGGCAAGTCAAATTTCAGATTTACAAATTCCCTTACATGCTGTTGTAAATTAAGAATGGGGAAGAACTGGAATGGCATAATTTATTTTCCTACAAATATAGTTTGTGGTCTAAGAACTGTGATTGCTTAATTTACTTACCCACAAACATATTTTGTGTCTTGCTAAGGCCCCAGTCCATTTTTATTAGAAATTACATCCTTTCACTTGGCCATTTAACTTTGACAAAAACGTGGCATTGATATACATTGTATATAGATATATAAATGGGTTTCTCCTCATTTGTAATGTATTCATCTGGTGTTCGGGTAACCGTATGCATAAATCATGTCTATATGAATTGTATTTGCATATTTTATGTTGTATTGTAGACGGTTTATAAGTCTGCAGTATTACCTTGTGTTATCGTAATAATATGACTCTATTAACCTTGTACCTTTGAATGGTTTTGAACTATGTTCCTTTTAATAATTGATAGCTGTACCCAGAAACCCCCATTAAATTGCCATTCAAGCATTCTGTATTAGCTGAATCGGCGGGCAGGGTCAGACAGTTCTGTCGGTATGGTTAAGTATTAGTGTACCTTAAGGTTATTTTCACAATGGTGTCTAGGAAAAGTATTCTTTTTTAAATAATTCACTTTTTCTCTCTTTTCCCCCAGTGCGATTTAATGCATTAGCATTATCTCGTCATATTTAGTTTCATAAAATTTGCATATATTTTTTCAAGAATTATGTCCCTTTTATAGCATTATGTTATTTTACACATAAAAGATTAAAATAACCGCATCACATCTATTACAAGCTTCATAGATCTCTTACAAAGTCAAGCATTAGAACTTGTTCCACTAGCGTAGTATCAATCTGATTTAACACAGCAATATCTTTTCAATGAATAATCGCACTATTTATTTCCTCAACCATAGTTTATGAGATTTAACACCAGATTAATTACTATCAAATCTTTAATTAAAACCGCTGTTATAAATTGTATTTATCTCATAGTAGACCTTAGCTTTTAGAACATAAATACTCTTTGGCTTTATTTTAATTTAGAAACTGAAATGAATATGTTTCATGTGCACACACATATGCTCATGATTTTAATTGATTGTATTGGTGGCCATTGCAGCAAGGTTTTGTCCAACGGAATAATGCGTGCAACAGTGCACTTGTAGTTCACTTTGTTTAGCACATTTTGAATACCAGGTCGTAATTATTCTAGACTAGGTGTGTATTAAATGCCGCAACCCAAACTATTTTGGTGATATAGGTGGGCCTGTATATTCTAGCCGCGAGCCAAACGCCTATAATTTATGGTACTCAAATAATACACCGGTGTCACAGTGACATGACAATTAACCTTGTCCTGTCACCAAGCTAAATTGTAAACGATATAAGCATGATTTCCCATATTTCTGTGTTTTATAATTATTATTGTATTTGTGAAAATCAAAACATTTATATTTGTGATTTAGTTTAGTTTATACAAATTTATTTTAGTTCTTTGTGTTGGAAGCTAGAAGCTTATTGAAACACTCTCGAAACCGTTCCTAAAACCAACCGGTACTAAGCAATGAATGTAAAGTGTCTTGCTTAAGAAATCAACGGCTTACCCCTGACAGTGTTTTTACCCTGAAAAAGATCGTGGTAGGATAATTACGCACATGTAGATGAAACATTTAAGACGATCATTGTAGAAATATATACACTTCCTTTCGTAATTATACGTGTATATATCTTATATGACTTTCGCTGTGTATGTTCGTGACAGAGTTTATCAAGGCAATTTACTTATAGAATATTTTTCCTCTTCATCCAAACCCTGATAAATTGCTTTAAAGGAAGTGAACACGTATTCTTAGATTTAAATATCTAATTTGTACTCATTTAAAGGTCTACTTATTATAGTGTGCGGCGCGGTATGACCAGTAATGTGTCAGTGTCACCGGTTAACCCAACCAATCAACAAACCAACACACCCACCAACCAACCAACAAAGCAAACTAATCAGCATACCCTTCCTTTAAATGAATGTGTCGATATTTAAACATGGGATTAATTATTTGGTATGCGTAAAAGTTAATGTCATATTTGAACGTCACAGTAGCGATACTTAACTGTAATTTTATTGCAGGATGATTCATGTTTTAACACCCTTGTTTAATCAAGAGAAAAAGGCGAAATCACAATACTTGGTGTTAATAGATCTTTTATCTGTAGCACTTAAATCTAATCGCGTCTGTACTTTAATTCGTTAATACGTTTTTCACGTAAATCACGACATTTGTTTACAGACCTGATACTAAAAACTGATTTTACCAATACTACAATACTTTGTACTTCAAGATGGTGTGTACATTGGAGACGCTAAGCAAACACTCTGCCGGAACTGTTCCAGTCAGTTACGATGTCACAGAGATTTTTTGAATAATCCAATAATAGTGTAATAATGGAAACAATTCAAATAACCAATAATCCGTCGATACAGAAAATCAACTGGTGGCGCTATAGAATTCGGCATGTGGCAGTACATAGTGTCTAGGCATTATATATTTTGATTTTACTAAAACTAGTATTTATTTCTTTTTTACTTGGCCGTACCGATTGGTTTGGACAATGCTGTATCTCACATGGCACTACGCGTATCCACCCGTTCCCATTTCTGCACGTATTTAGACAATACATAGTAAATAAATTTCCCTAAGTTACCGTTTTTTTTTTTAATTACGTCATATTCAAAGATACTTTAAATTATCGTGATAATTAACTTTCAAAATAAATTGAGCTTTCGAAAAGTATCATTATAATATGTTTAAAACTACCAGTTGTACTGATATTTGCTAAATTTTGACATTATATTTAGGATATTACACATAATGTTCTAATCCAATATCATGCTTATTTTGTAATTTACTGGATACACCAACTATTTTAAAAATATATTTTTAGAAATATAGCGCATTTTATAAATGACAAGGCTTCGATTTAGGCACTGCGTGTTTTCGAAAGAAGAGTTTTTTTTTATACAAATTTCACGAGAAAATTATACACAGAAGTATATTCATTACATTTGAATGGAATATGCTTCATGAAGAAATCTTTATAATAATTTTGATTTTAAATATATTTCTGTTTTATTTACGTTACATTTTGTTTTTCATAGATTCTGAAGAAAGTGTGGCTAAAAAGATATTATATTTGTCTACTTTGCATTTTCCAAAGAACAAAAACACGTTTTCCATTAACTATAGATTATAGAAAAATGTTCATCGTTTGCATTTACTCACCCCACACGGCGTCATCATTTGTAGAAAATGTTTCCCAAGTGGAATTTACGGGCCATTGTCTATATTAGAATGAACGCTTTGCCGATAATACCCCGTCTAAAGTCATTAGCAACAAATTGCCTTAACTCTCCCATAAAATAATGCCAAATCTGATTACAGCGCCGTTGCTAAAAAGGATTACGACAACCCAGATTGATTTTTAATTTACTGGGCAATCTACAAGTATAACAATTTCCGTAAAATCGCCTTGTACAAAACAGTTTGTTTAATCGGATTGCTTTGTCTCGTAATAACTTGAAAACCAGACTTTGTCCAAAAGACATTAAAGCAGTCGAGAGGAAAAAAAAACTTAACATAACTTTACAGTAAGAATTCCAATATTTGTCCAAATAAAAAAACCTTTCGTTCTTCCTTTCTAAATATAATATTCATATTTTAGAATATTCTTGACCTGTAACTGGTGACTAAATATGTAAGTAATCAATAAAGTATTATTGTTGGTAATTGTATATTCTTTCCAACGAGACTGCATTATTTCAGATATCGTATTAATGATCCAAAATTGTCCCAAGAGTGACTTTAAACTGTTGCTCATTTACTACCATTATCTAACGGAATTTTCTTTTCATCTTGGGACCCAACTTAAAAGAAAATAAGAAGTAGCCATGGAAACCGAATAATATAATAGCAAATAGCATTTTCCAGATCCCTCCCAAGAGGTTTTTTTGTATATAAATCCATAAATTCAATAATATCCATGCGTTTAATAACTTAATAATAACCTTTAGAGTTTAAAGAGAAAGAAAATAAAAGGCTAATGTAAGTGTTTTATTAAACCAAGGATAGTGGAAATTAGGTCTACTGGCCCGTTGTTAACACATATAATTTGAGGATAATTAAACAATCAATCAGTCATAGGTTCTTTTCATTGTTGAACATGTATGAGAATGACCTTCATCCTATTCGGCTGAATTAAAATGGTAGAATCATGCAAATGTATATAAAATGTTTTTAAAAAAATGGAATACAAATTAAAATTAAAAAAAATACATTAAATAAAATAATAAAAACACGAAGCTTATTTTGGGATAAGATTACGACAAAGCCATCAAATTTACTCAAATATATGACACATTTTCGTAAGGAGAAAACTGTTTCACG